GGTGCTAGGCCTTACAGAAGGCTCACCAGACTCTGGTTCAACATATCCAAGGCCAGAGGTGAAGTTATGAGAGTCACCAATATTCTTCATGGAAGATTGCATCTTCAGAAGGCTATTATATCTACTCTCAAGTTCCTCAATGTCTCTTATTCTTTTCAGAAGAGACTCATTTTCAGCTTTCAGTCTATCTCTTTCCTCAGTTAAGAGATTAAGTTTGCACTCAGTCTCTTTCCTTAGATCAGAGATATCAACTTTCAGCCTACTGTTCTCTTCTTTAACAAAAGAATAAGTGGCTTGGATAGTTTGGAACTCTTCCCAAAATGATGACATTGGATCATCATTTAAGGCTGTGCCTACCGAAGAGGAAATAGAATTAGAAGTAGAGCATACCTCATCATCTGATTGTGCCATGAGGCAAAGGTCTTCATTTTCTGCATCCAAGCAGCAGAATGCTTCATCAGAGTCAGAGTCTGAGCTGGACTCTGATTCAGAGAGTGGATCTCTCTCAGCTTGCTCTGAGACGAATGCTCTTCTTCTTCTGTGTTGATCATCTGGTTTCTTTTCTTCTTCATGTCCTTGCTTCTTGGACACTCTTGGATAGGGGCAGTTTGCTTTGAAGTGCCCAGGTTGTCTGCAGTTGTAGCAGAGGTACTCTCCATTGCTCTCAGAAGATTTGGTCTTCTGATGTGGTTTTCTGATGGAAGATGGACTCCTTCCATCTTTCTTCATAAATTTTCTGAATTTTCTGGCAAAGGCAGCCATATATTCATCAGATAGAAGAGTTGAGGGATCAAAATTTGTAGCCTTAGAAGTGCTGGCAGTAAGAGCAGTTGTGGTTCTCTCATCTGACACTTCTTCTTTCTCATCATGCATCTCAAACTCATAAGCTTTGAGATCAGATATCAGTTTCTCTGTGGGATAGGTTTTGATGTCCTTGCTTTCTTGGACAGCAATAACCTTCATCTTCCAGACTGGGGGCAGTCCTCTGAGAATCTTCAGGTTGACTTCTTTAACTGTGAGCTCCTTCCCAAGCTCGGATATCTCACTGGTAAGAATCAGAAGTCTGGCATGCATCTCAGCTATGCATTCCTCAGGTAGAAGTTTGAAGTCATCAAACTTCTTCATAGCTATTGTCAGTTTGTTGTCTCTCTCTTGTTCATCACCTGCTCCTATGAGATCAAGTTTGTCCCATATTTCTTTGGCAGTTCTACACTTCTTGATTCTGTTGAAGTATCTGTTGTCGATGGCCTTGTAGAGGATATCTTTGGCAATATTGTCAAGATTGTACTGTCTCCTCTCTTCCTTTGTCCATTCTGATCTGGCTTTCTCAATCATCTCAGGCTGAGTCCTGTCAATAGTATGCTCAGTATTCACCTTCATAAATTTGGTGAAAGGTCCTTCTTCAAGGACTTCCCACATTTCATCATGAAGAGCGCAGAGGTGTGCTTTCATTCTGATCTTCCAGTCATCATACTTCTGATCTGAAAACATGAGGTGCTTTGCAAGAGAGTTATCCATAATAACAAATAAATAGAGGCTAAGAACAAGTGGATCTTTGCTCAGAGAGTAACCTAAAAGATTACAAGAACAAGGAGGCTCTGATACCACTTGTTGGTCCCGTTTAATATGGTAACCAGTCTAGAGGGGGGGGGGGTGAATAGACTGGTTGGTTTTTCAAATTTTCTCTAAGTCCGAAGTGACTTATCAGAGAAGGTCTGATTCTGATGACAGAGAAAGGCTGGTTCTGATATCAGAACTGGCCTTGGCAGCGGATTCTGATCTGTCCGGGTAGCCTCAGAAAAATACTAAGGCAAATGCCTTTCTGATAACTCTGAAAACAAGATCTGCTGAACACAGATTCCAAGTCTTAGAGTTAATCAGTTAATATCCTAAGTGCAGAAATATAAATTGCAGTAAAGTAAGTGACACCGGATATTTTATAGTGGTTCAAGGAACAACTCGTTCCTCTAGTCCACTGTTCCACTAGCTTTGAAGTAGATCAGTTACAAAGCTAATTCCTAGCACTTAAGAAGCACTCCTCGTCTTCTTCAAGCCTAGATGCCACCCAGGATGCAATTCCACGTCCTGATGGCTGATCCTTTCACTCAGCTTCCCGGAAGTATCACCACTTCACTACTGCAGTTACTTGGACGCCCTTCTTTTCAGAAGATCCTTTTGAAAAACAGAGTTTTTCCTCCAACTTGCTTCGTTACAAAGGATGTTTGATGAAGTTCTTGAAGTGTTGAAGAACAGGATGAACTTTGCTTGTTTGTTGGGGATGAGAGATTTGGAGTTTGAATCTTCCCAACGTAAGCTTGTCTTGTTGAAGGTTGTAGAGTTTGAATCTCAAGAGAGCTTGAATGATGATGTGTAAGAGTTGTAGCAAAGTTGTTTTTCTGTTCTTCGATGTGTAGCTTATATACTGAGGTTGTCTGCCCGTTGGAGGAGGAGACAACTGCATTAAATGTGCGTACAGTTGACTTGACCGCCGTTTTGGAAGGTTTCTATTTTTATAATATATCTTCCCGGATTCCTTGGTCAATCATTTGTAATCAATCCTTCAGCGTATCAGGCTCATTTAATGTGCATTAATTGCTTTCCTTTCATGCACAGTCTTCTAGCCGTTGGATGTTTTTACCCGTTGAATTCAGAGCTGTTGGATGTTGCTTGAGATTCTTCTAAGTGTTCGTCGGGCTCTGATCAGGTTCTTCTGATATGTTGGATTCTGAAGGCTTTCTGATGAGTTGAGTTCTGATGGAGTTCTGATCTCTGACTGAACTCTGACTCTGAAAGGTCCGCTGATGAGTACTTCTGATCTGTAGTTCTCATCGGCTATCAGATGTCCAGGTTTATCAGCAACTCTCATGATGCAACTCTGATGGACTTCTGGTAAGAGAACTCTGATGGAGCAGTTCTCATAGAGCAAGTCTGGTCGAGCAGTTCTGATGCACTTCTGATCTGATCCAAAGTAGAGCAACTCTGATCGTCGACTACACTAATACTTACAATTGAAAAGTCTAATACATAAAATCTAATTTGGGGGTACTTTAAAATTCTAATCCTATAGCATCATCAAAATCTAATTACATTTATTCCTTACAGACCCGATAAAATAAAATATATTTAAAACAGTCCGAAAAATACAACTTTCGGGACCAATTGTACACTTCGGGACAAAAAGGGTTGACCTCCCACATGAGTGGGGGCCAACCCACGATTTTTCCACTCAAAATTGAGGGAGGGTCGGCTGGTGCATGAAGAGAACATGGGAGGAGGATGTTGATAAGAAGGGAATGACATCAAAAGTACCTAGGTGGACCCCCATTTTTGCACTCATTAGATCAATGAGACAAAAGTCCATCCCCATCCCTCTCTCCCCTCCCTATCTCGGACAAGACACAGCAACCAAGAGCAAGAAAAATCCTCATCCCCCTTCCTCCATTGTTGAAGAAAGCTCATCAAGGAAGAATCACCCAAAAAGGAGCTAAAGTGCTAAAAGTGTGAAATAATTAAGGTAATGACCTTATTATAACTTTTCCTTTATTTTTCTTCTACCATATGAGATATATATCATGTGAAGGATCCTTGAGAGGATTCTACATGTTATAAGTATGGATTTATGGGTTGGAAAGTGATTCTATGTCCAAGAACGGACTTAGAAGCCAAAACGACCGGTTCACCGGAAAATAACCTTTTTGAGGTTATTTGTATTAACATGGGTTTTATGATTATAAAACCTTGTTAGGAACTTGTGAAAGGTATTTCAAGTGATTTCACAAGGTTGGAAAAGTCGCCGGAGTTGTCGCCGGAGTTGACCAAAAGTCACCGGAGTTTCACCGGAGTTCAACCAAGAAGGGTAAAACTTCATAACGCTAGTTCAAGGTGAGTGGACGGCTTAATATCTTATAACTTTTGGGTTAATTATGAGATTACCTAAATAAATGTTATATGTGTTCATAATGATGTTTAAAAGATATTTAAACATGTGATTAGCCAACATTATTAAGTTGTATGAAAAGAATTAATTGTTTATGCATGAAATATGATATGAGGAATTGTATAAAACGCATATTAACTTGAAGTGTAAAAGAAGCACAAATGAGTATTATTAACTTAATTATATGATGATTAAGTTGATAGGTACAAGGCTTGAATTGGCGGTCAACGACAACGTTGACCGATGGATAATGGATTAATTAATATCGGTTGATATTAGTTAATTATACATTTATATAATTGCATGGCTTTGCATGGATTGTGATACATAAGATTTATTTATTGGATTAGTTATGAGTAACTAAGGATGATATAGACTCTATCTAGGTTGATAGGAGGTTGATCATAGGAAGACTTGGTGGAGGACCCTAGTACTTAAAAAGTACTTAACACTCAAACTTGGTGGAGGACCCTAGTACTTAAAAAGTACTTAACACTCAAACTTGGTGGAGGACCCTAGTACTTAAAAAGTACTTAACACTCAAACTTGGTGGAGGACCCTAGTACTTAAAAGTACTTAACACTCAAAACTTGGTGGAGGACCCCAGGACTTAAAGTCCTTAACACTCAAACATGGTGGAGGACCCTAGTACTAAAAAGTACTTAACACTCAAAACTTGGTGGAGGACCCTAGGACTTATGAGTCCTTAACACTCACAAACCGGTGGAGTATCCAAGGATTATGATCCTAAAACTCATAGATTATGATATACAAATAGGGACAAGGAGGAGTCCTATACACTCATAGGTATATGGGTGGGTTGGGGTTTTTGGTCAAGAATATTGACTATTACTATTTTTCCCAAATGAACGGTGATCTACGGATCGGATATTTTCCAAGTATAAATATACTAATAAGTATTTCATAACTTGGGGGAAAGACTATTTATTTAAGTATCACCCTATGTTTGGGTCTTATACTTGAAACGCTAGTTATTCTATATTTAGCCTGCTACTCGCTCGGTACTTGTACTGACCCCTTCGGGGGGCCCCACCATTTTCAGGTTGAAGCTAGGGCTTGCTACTTGCACCTTCTCACGGGTGATATCAAATCAGGAAGACGTGGTTCGTGCTTCCTTATTTTCTTTCAAACTACCGAACACTTGCTCATGGATATTTGTTCTACTATAAACTATTTTTGGGGCTTGCATGCCCATGTTGTTGGCCGGTTGTGGCCTATGACTTACCGTTGAATATTTCCGCTATTCATTGGTTTAAATGTGATGTTGTTATGTATGTTTACTACTGAGTATGGATGGATTGTTTTCTCGAACGCCTTGTGTAATTAAGTGGGGTTGACTCGCGGGTGACGTCACTTAATTATACGGCGGTTGTACACGCGCTTGGATTTCGGTCTGGGGCGTGACATGATGACAAAAGAACTCTAGGATTGGATACGGGATCAAAAGAAGACGAAAAGAGCTTGAAAACGGCGATCAGGATGACCTTCTGTCAATCGTTCAAGCATATCTCTTTGTAGAATCATCCAAAGGACACAACTCAAGTTGCATATGAAATCCAACTTCAAGGGATACAATTCCTATGCCGACATCATTCCAATAATCTGAGAGGAAGAAGGTGAAAATAGACGATGAAGTCAGATGATCCCTATTACGATTTCAGAATGCGACCTTCCACCATTTTGATCATATCTCTTGATTAGATGATTCAAATCCAATTCGGCAAGTTGTGGTGGATTGAAGACTTCATTATCTACAACTTTCGTGAAGGAAGCGTTGTCAAATCCGGAAGTTAAGTAGGCACGATTGTGTGCTCAAAGTTAGGCACGATCGTGCGTGAAGAGAAAGCACTGCGGAGCTACTGCCAGGCAGGCACGATCGTGCCTGGAGGTAGGCATGACCGTGTCTGCCCAAAACGCGTGATTGTGCCTCGGGAAATCCCGATTTGAGCCGAATTTTGACTGTTTTCTATAAATAAGGCCTCCATACTCATATTTCAGGGTTACAAACATTACGGAGAGGCCTAGTCCCTTTTTTGTTGTCCGTCCCTGTGGAGACGATACTCGTACTTACACCACTATATTATGATCTATTTTAAGTGCGAGAAAATTCACATCACTTATCTGGACAGGCATCTGAGGGTGCGATTTTGAGAGATGCATGAGGAATTATGGTAGGAGCCATCACCTTCCCGTTTGTCACCACCTCTCCGTTAGACTTCGAGATTCCAGCTATAGAGTATGCTATGAGATGGGCGGTGGATGAAGACATCCAAACATTTCAGGTGGAATCCGATTGCTTAAAGGCGTTGAGTTATTTGGAAGGTCAGGAAGCGAGAAGATGGATGAATATTATTCGGGCAATTAAGCTCATTGCAATCGAAATTTTGGACATACTATGCGCGAAGGCAATTGGGCCGCGCACCACCTGGATGAGATACGGGCCTCTCACACTGTGATTTTTAAAGATCCAGCTCAGCTATCAATTTTTGCTAAACGGGTTTTTCTGATGGACTTGATAGAATTCCTTGGTTTCGTTTTTAATTGGTTTGTTGTAACTTTACATATTTCTGATTGATTCAGTTTTTATTTATTTTATCATCTATATACTTTGGGAAATATTCTCCGGCATTTGCCTCACTGATTTTGGTGATCAGCTTACTGGGATAAAAAAAAAAATAATTACTAACACAATAAAAGGTAAATATACTAGTATCCACTAGTAATAGTAATAACATGTCTATGGCCTACTTTATTAACAAATTTACAATACTAATGTAATACTTATTCTGCCCCAATTTAAAATTCCCACTTTGACTTGCACTCATATTAAGGAAATAAAAAAAATTCCTTTGACTTTTTGGTATGTCCTTTTAATGACTTTCTGCTTTGCATTGTGTTGTTATTACTCTGTATTATTTAATTCTACTAGAGTAAATTTGTATTGAGTGTTTACCAAATAAAGGACATTCAAAAAAGTAAAGTTGAAAGTTTATTTAGGGATGAAAGAAGTAGTACAAAAGATAAACTATTACTCAAACAATGCAACATCAATAATGCTAAATCATTATTATTTAGTTCTAAAAAGGCAATATGAAAGGGGTTTGCTAAATCTTGGTTTAGTCCATCCTTTGTGAGTGATGGAGGAGCGGGTAATGGGGAAGGGAAGTTTTATATAGGGAGGGGTTATTGAAGCTCAATCTAATTTCGGTTATGGAAACACCTGCACCAAATATACACTCTTTTTTCATTCTCTCCAATTGGGTTCTTTTCTTAACTTTTGGTTAACTTATGTGGTCCTTGTTGACCTTGTTATCTCCGGACTTTGCCAATTATATGTTGATTGTGAAATAAGAAAAATAAACTTTTTATATATGCTTGAGATTTGTATAGAGAGTAGAAAAAAAAACAGACCTACAATTTAATTACTTTAAAAGGAATTTGACAAATTTTTTGAATTAAACAAAAAAAGAAAGTTGGTAAAGTCAATTAAGACGGAGGAAGTGTTAGGGACCTTGGGAAGACTTACAGATTTAATATATATGCAATGCTTTCTCTTTGTTTTTGTTATTAATCTCGTGATTTTGCTCACTTGCCGATTAGATGTTGTAATTACTTAATTTTTCTATACATTGTAGACTTTCCATATATAGGAGAATATAATTTCCGGATAAAATGGATCAGAAATAATATGCTACGTATGATCCAAGCTAGAAGTTAGTAACGTCATAGAACGAATAATATATTAGTAGATATATGCACAAATTAGACTAAATTTACACTTTTCTCTATTTGATACTCCATCTCTGTTCAATTGTTGAATTGCAACAATAGGATCGGAGTTTGTAAAATATTTAAGGGATAAATAGTAAGAGTAATAAATATTGTAGAAAAATAAAAGAGAGAGTGAAAAAGTACGAAAGATAATATGAAAAGTACAAAAACTAAAGGTAGTTAAGTATTTTTAAAGAGAAATTACCAAAAAGAAAAAATATAGCAAATAAAAAAATACTTCTCAAAAAGTAAGGTGTAATCAATAAAAGAATACCAAGAAATACTACGTACTATATTAGTTTATTTTATATAAGATAAAAATAATTTTATATAAACCTGTAAACACTTTCAAGAAGGATGTGTTTAGTTTAAAAGATGAGACATACACTACTAAAAAGGTGAAAATAGCTGTGAATATTTCTTGTGATTTTTTTTTGAAGATAATAGTTGCAGATTTTGTAACAATTTTTTGTATTTTGGTGATCCCACAAAAAAGAGTTCAATTATCTGTTACTAAAATCATGGGTACATATAGCTCCAAGGGGCGGGGAGATTTTAGCTGCGCTTTTCCAATCATTTTATTTCGTAGGTAATTGTTTTGCAAGTATTTTCACAGATAATGAAAATGACAGGCTGGAACCTTTGTCCTTGCAAGTATTTTCACAGATATTATCACCCTTAATACTTAATTTTTCACTGACCATGCACATAATTTTTGATTTGGTTTGTTGAATTATGTAATAATAAAAAAGTAAGATTATAGTTGTTTTTTGGCCGAATTGGCTGAAATTATTGCATATATATGCGATTTTAGCTATTTTTTATATAAAAATTTAAATATAGCTTTTTCATAATTTAGCAGATTCAGCTCATTCAGCTGCTTCGGTAAGAACTATATCAATTTCAGCAGATTCAGCAAAACTCTATTTATATCCTACACCCAGTATTTTTGTAATAACATGAACTTTAAAACTTTCAATATAATGACTCTTCTAGCAGATTTCTCAAACGTGCGTAGGTTATTCGCAACCCTTTTTTGGCCGGTCTTCTTCGTTGTAATCTGCTGCCATGAAACAGGGTAAAGGCAAGACTGCTTCCCTTTAACTCATGTCCCATGGCGAAGTGATGATTACTACTTTGGTCCCTTATCTGAGCTCTCAAGTCTCAACTTTTGATGCGTTGCTTTTAGGTTCCAGTGGAAGACAGAGACGCCGCCGGTGACGTTGACTATGCTACACCCCAGTGTCCTAGGTTCGTCTGCGACTCTGCTACCGCCCCACCAGATTATGAAGCTCACCAAGAAGATGGGTTTTTGCCTCATGTAGTACAACACCATGGCGTTAGCTTTTCTGATTTGCAGGTTATTAGAGAAATTATAGAAAAATAGGATGGTGAAGAAAAGGAATTGAAAAAAAAATGATTTCTGGTTCCGTGATAGGCTAGAGGCCGGATATTGAGTTCGAGTTCGAGATGTTCCCGATTGAGCTTCTGATTTGCGGAATGTGAGTCTACTTCATTGCTGAGGAATTCTTGCTGCTATTGATCTCAAATGAGTTTTATATTAAACTCAAATGAGTATACGCCTAAAAGAATGAAAATACACAAATGTTTTTTTTTTGAATTTTTAGCTACTCAGTTTGCACGTAATGTATGCTCATTTAGTAATGTTGTTATGCTCATTTTAAAATGTTATATCAATGTATATTTCAAAAGTACCATATTACATTATGAGATTCACATGCATAAGAGTTGGTTATAAACACGCGAGCATAAATCATGATACTCGATCGCACAATTTTAGTACCCAGTATCGGAGGTTTAATGCTCACTGAAAATGTCTTGATACTCAACTAACAAAACTTATAATTTTCATATCAATGCTCATTTTGTAAGTTACGTATGTTCATTTAGTACTGATGTTATGCTCAATTTAATATGTCATATAATACATATTTCAAAAGTACCATATAACGTTAGATTCACATATTGAAATTTATAAGAGTTGAATACAGATATAATTTAAGAAATTTTTATAAAATCGAAAATAACAAAAAGAAAGTGAATTAAAAGTTATGAAGCAGATATCACGATGTTCAACATTAGACTCATAATACTCAACAAGATAGGGTTGCTGCTCATTAAAAGTTCATTTAAGCTCATTTACCAGAAACCGTAATTTTCATCTCAAGAGAGGAGATTTGATGCTCAATGAAAATAATGTCGTGATATCCAACTATCGAACCTGACGCTTTTCATATTAATGCGTATTTTGTAAGTTGCATTTGCTCATTTGGTACAAATTTTATACTCATTGTTAGCCTCCTAATACTCAATAAAATCTGATGCTCACTAAACATACACTATTGCTCATTTATCGGAACTCGTGATTTTTCGCTTAAATTACGAAAATGCCACCGAAACAAATTGACATGTACTCCGTATTAGTTATTGGGTTGTCTTCCTTAGTTGGGCCGTGTGTACATACACCCGGATGTATGATATAGGGACTGAACGGGCCCGTGGTAACTAGGAGTAAAATATTAATAAATTGCATATATGGTGACATTGTTATTTTTGTCCAAAAATTAGTACTCATTTACTCTTAATAATAAAACTAGTCAAAAAATATTAATAAAAAAATGTGTTAGTCTAAGATCGAGTCCGCGCGTTTGATAACAATTGAATATTAGTCTACTGAAATTGATAATAAAATGTTGGCTAAACGGCTGAGAATTGATTGAATATGGAAAAATTATATTTAAAATAAATTTCATTAATAGAATTAAGGAAACATATATTTATGTGATGAAATAACTAAAATGATCATCTACAATAATTCTAACTAATTCAACCAAAAAAGTAATTAAGCCTTATTTATTTGGTTATTAAAAAATTCATAGCCTGAAATTAAATGTTAAGTATTTCGGGGGAAAAATTGGCCGATATAAAACTAATAAGCCGGAAGTAGGGGTTACTAACAATTTGGTTCTAAATATTAAAAGATCTTATATACATCTAAGAACAACGTAACTATTTGATTAATAACTTATACTCCATCTAATCTAATTTTTATATGTAAGGAAGTTGTCTTAATTCTAAATAGGAAATTTCACAATAGAATCATCACTGTGTGTTTAGAACTTATACATGTAGTATATGATTAATTATTTTAATTAGTGTACATCATGCATGATGAACTTGTATATATATGCTTTTTATAATGGTTGTGAAAGAACTATTATATCCAGTAATTATTTAGAAATAAACAAATACGAGTACTTTTTTATTTTTTATTTTTTGAAGTCCTTTTTTATATTTTATACTCCGTATTAATAATTAATAACTTAAATAAAGGCAAGGTGACTGCTAGGGGTGGAAACAGGCCAGGCCAGGCCAGGCCAGGCTTTCGCCTAAACAAGCTGGACCTGTTTTAGAATATATAGGCCTGAGCCTGGCCTGTTACCTACGTAGTATTAAAGGCCTGGTTTTTTGGCCTGAGCCTGACCTGTTTAAAAGCCTGGCCTGACCTGAAGCCTGTTTACTGGGCCTGTTAAGAAAAAAATAAAATTTCTCAAAAAAAAGTGAAAAATCCTTTTAATCCGGTATAAAATTTATTCCCCCAAATATTCACTAAAAAGTCTAATAATACGTTAGTTTTGCTTTGGATGTCTAATAATACATTATTATGTAGTGAAAATAAATTTCTATGTAATTCAAATATTGAAAAACTTGAATTTCAATTATCTTAATTTACTATTAACTCACTTTATATATATTAAAAATACGGAGTAGTATTCTATTCTAATTTATAATACACACCATAAAAATACTACTATGCCGAATTTGTTATAGTTAAGTATACCAATATAAATATAAATGTAAATAATATAAATAAATATAAATATAACTAAATACACACACATATACACATATAAATAAGCCGGCCTGTTAAGCTAAAAAGGCTTCAGAGTTGGATTAGGCCTGACCTATTTAGATAAACGAGCTTTTTGAAAAGCTCAAGCCTAATTTAATTACTAAACAGGCCTGGCCAGATCAGGCTTTTAACAGGCCAGGCCACAGGCCCCTAACAGACCGCCTAACCTATTTCCATCCCTAGTGACCGCCTATAAATTTAACCCGTGCATCAATGGATGATTTGTCCTCCTTCACTTGTATTTTTATTTTCTATTTCGACACCTTATTTTATCTCTTGTTTGTTCAAGCTAAAAAGGAAGATGAAGACCAAGGCGAACTTGTCAACTAAAATAATTATGACTGTCATCCTTTTATTGATCACTCTCATCGCTGATGTGTGTGTTGATCCAGTATCCGCAGAAGGTGGAGGTGGGCATGGCGGCGGCGGTCACAGCGGCGGCGGGCACGCTGGTGGAGAGAGCGGAGGAGGCGAGCACGGCAGTGGTGGAGAGGGCGAAGAAGGCGGCAGTGGTCGTACTCGAGTGGTCCCGGCCGGGCATGGTAACAGCAAAGGGAATGGCGCCCAACTCACCAAATCGCCCTTCATGTTTGGACTTCATCTTGACGCCGTCATCATCTTCAACCTACTCGTCTTTTATCTCATCTAAGTTTAAATTCCTTCATGTAATTATTTTTTCAATATTCGAATTACATAGAAATATGATAGTAAACATTCACTTCTTAATTTGTAAGAGGCCTTACAGTTTAAACTTTTTCAGAAATAGGATTTCACAATGTGATTCATGGAGCATGCTATCCATACCCTCTAATTTATAGCCAAACATTACAGTGAAAGAAGCACTCATAGTGATCGTGAATGCCTATGAAAAGCATAGAACAATTGGCTAATTAAGGTAACTAGTAAACTAGTAATTGGTCTGAGAATTTTTCTTTGAATTTTTCTTTCAAATTTATGTGTGCTTAGTAATTCAAATTACACTATCAATTGATAACAACATCTATCTTCATGTAATATTAATATACATCAAATCATTAAACGAAACACACTTATAATATTAAGGTCAAAATGAGAGTTAAGCATTACTTAAAAGATCAAAACATCCAACAAATACGTTGAAACCATCATTGTAAATATGCATTTAATGTAAACCTAAACATTGTTGAACACTTCTTTGAATACAACATTCTGAGTCTTGTAAGTGGTTCCTTCATCTTCATTGACAATTAGAATTTTCAAACCACAACGATTGGTAACTCTTGATACTACAACATACAACTGTTCGTGGGTAAATACCATTTTTTCAACAACAACCCAACACGGGACAAAGATTGACCTTGACTTTTATTTATAGTCATAGCATATGAAGTAGATATTGTCGCCTATGAAATTTGAAAAGCAAGCTGGCATCGGATGACGTCAAAGACAATATAGGAATTAGTACTTTTTGTTCAGCACTCACACCAGTTAAAATTTTGTCCTCCAAAACATGATCACCGAGCCTCGTTAGAATAATATGTGTCCCGTTACACAACCCCATTGAATGATCGATATTTCGCAAAAGCATCATCAGGGTCACTACTTTTAACGTTAACTCATTATTCAGTTCACCGGACAATTTTATACTATTCAAGAACTCAGGTGTGTGCAGTTCCGCCATTAGATCGGTCGTAGAATCTACCTTAGAAACGTACACTGTCAGAACTAAGATATGTTCTCGAAACTTCACCAACATTAAGAGCCATCATATAGTCATTAACAGTTTCAACCACAGCCAGTGTCAGTGTCAAAATTGCTATGACCGGCAATTTAGATATGATGAATTAATCGTTGCATTGACTACATCCTGTCTACTCCCATAAGGTATCCGGCAACACCTGCCGAAAATCAAAGGTTTATATAAATTAGTTGAAGATAAATTATTTATAATGACTAAGTAATAAGGTGACTATAAATTCACACGAATTGCATTTCTTGAATGATACTTGAATCTAAATTTGTGGGAAAATATTCAAATATGTGCTTCTACTATTTCTAATATCCAAGTATGGTCTGGTCTGGTTTGTTTAAGATTTGTTTGGTCTGAGACTGAAATAAGTCTAAGTATAAACATCTCAAGTAATATGGTAACTATGCATTTATACGAATTGCATTTTTTATACGAATTGCCCGGGTAAATTGGCAAATCAGGGGGTGTGCGAATATGTGAAAGTGTGTTATGACATTATTAAACAATGCTCAAATTTGAACGACATTTATATTCTTGATTTCTAGGAGAGCACCCGTGTGATGCAGGGCCGGAGAATTTTTCTTTCAAATTTATTTGTGCTCACTAATTCAAATTACACTATCAATTGATGACATGCAATATTAATATAGCTCAAAGCAAAGGGAATGGTAAAGGGAATGGCGCCCAACTCACCAAATCGCCCTTCATGTTTGGACTTCATCTTGACGCCGTCATCATCTTCAACCTACTCGTCTTTTATCTCATCTAAGTTTAAATTCCTTCATGTAATTATTTTTTCAATATTTGAATTACATAGAAATATGATAGTAAACATTCACTTCTTAATTTGTAAGAGGCCTTACAGTTTTAACTTTTTCAGAAATAGGATTTCACAATGTGATTCATGGAGCATGCTATCCATACCCTCTAATTTATAGCCAAACATTACACTGAAAGAAGCACTCATAGTGATCGTGAATGCCTATGAAAAGCATAGAACAATTGGCTAATTAAGGTAATAAGACATATTATGAATAATAAAAGAAACAAGACAAATCATTGCTCAAATTGATGAACGGGAATCTTATCATAGGCTGGTGATAAATAATGTAAACTAGTTACTCCACCAACAATAGTACTACTAACTCTAAATTAAACATTTTAAAGTAGATAATGTCGTTTGATGAGCATTTCATTTATAACTCTGTATTAATGAATGAAACTCAAACTTTAGAAAAACATCTGACATGTGAAACGAACTAAGATAGAAAAATATAAATTGACTAAAATTTTAATTTTAAAAACGAATAAAGAGGAACAACTACTTTCTATCACTCAAATTACTTTTACTCCGTACTTTTTTAGCACCCGATAGAGATATTGACATATTGAGAGAGAACTCAGATAGAGAAGTATGTGACAGAAATGCCATGCCGAAGATAATTTGTAATTCTTGGGTCCTCAATTCAGTTGAGCTGGTTATTTCTTTTACTACGGAGTATTACAAATGACTAAAAGAAGTTACAAATACATCATCACTCGGCATAATTATATAAATCTCAGTACATAAACATTACATATATAAAACTAATCAGAAGAACAAATAATCACATAATCTCAATAAAATCTCAGTGCATTTGATAATATCACTTAAAGTAAAGGTAGATTCTATGGTACCCAAAAGGTACCATACCTTTGTCCACTTGGACCGATTAGAATGTTGCAGTTGAATTATTTAAATCTAAATTAAAAATGATTTAATGATTTGGACCAATCATGTGAGTGGTAGGTACGGTACCTCATTTTTTAAATGGGTACCGGAGTTGTCACCTAAAGTAAAAGCCTCTAATAGTTTCCATGCTACTAAATTTGAACTGTGACTTGTGTTGGGAAAAACTCCGGACTTTCCCGCTTCGTGAAGTTAAGATAGGCACTTAGGAAATTAGGTAGTGATGGGAGCACACGATTTAAATTCTCCAATATGGAGATTCTTCCACTATACAAAAGAATAGTAGGATTTACAAGGATGTTACAAAATTCTCTCACTCAATGGTGGCTCACTCAAGCTTGAGGATATGAACTTCCCAAGCTATCTCTCTTCTCTCTCAAAGAGACTCTCTAACTTTCTCACTCTAAGAAGTGAATTCTTTTTTTTTTTGAAAAACTTTTTTTTTATTTTGAAAAAAGATTTTTATTGAAAAAAAGTAAACGGTACATAGAAAAAAATACAGAGAAAGAAAAAAGAAAATAAAACAATACAGGGAAAGAAAAGACTAAAACTACACCCAAGGAAATTCTCTTGACTGAGACCTAGTGGTCATACTGTGGCGCCTTTTATTTTTGTGAGATTTCCTGTAGATTTTTAGCTGCGTGTTTAAGTTTTCCGTTGGCAGGTAATTTTTTGAGGTAACAAACTTTGATTTCCAGCAGATCGCTCTGTTGAATTTTGATTTCGTAATTTCTCCTGGAGTTGAGATAGGGGGACGACGATCGCTTTCAGTAGCATGTCCCAGAAAGTCGTCCATGAAAGAAGAAGAATCTGATTGATAAAAGTTGTCTGATGTATCTGAGTAAGCCTGAACAAGCATGTGTCGTTTTACTGGAGTTGGAGACATATCTTTGTCTGAGTAGGCGAATCAAAAATAAGTTTTGATATTGATTTTGGCTCCTCTGTAACTACCACGGTTTGTTGCAGCCAATCGATTGTTGTCTCCTGCACTAAAGTAGTTAGTCCAACAAAATTTGAGAATATTGCCATAATTTTTTTTTAAATTAGAGTTCTTTGGGCCCATGGGGATTAGTATGAAGCTTCCGTTTTCCTTAGCAATCTTCAGATACCGACCTGAATTGTTGAAATTTGAAGAGACCGTGATAGAACCAAATCTTTTGCTTTCCCTAAAATTATCTGATCTGGTGAGGTGATTTATTAATCTGTATATGTCGGGCGCTTGCTCTTCTTTGAAATTAATCCTATGCATTGAGGATTTTTTAATTTCAAATATGACAATTTCATTTTGTCTGTAAGCAAATCTAAAATATTTTGATTCAATTTTGATAGAATCAAAGCCCTCCTCTCCAAAGAAGCAAAACAATTTGGGTTCCTTGATTGAATCCTCCGCCGGTGCCTGAATTGATTTAAGGGAGTCTCTATGCATAATAATATCTGAGTCATACAAAATTATTGACTTATCATTATTCAAAATATCTCTGTCTGTAATCAAAGGGGGATGAGGAGCCACGGCTTTGTCTCTACCCATCCTAACGAGGTCAGCCCATGTGACGGTACCAGGTAATATTGTCGCTACTGCGGACTGGCTGTCATCAGTGAGCTTTTCACCCAGCTGTTCTTGTCTCCTTGTCTCTGTCGGATCCTGGCCCCGAAGAAGATTGCAGCGCCACTGTTGAAATCTCCGGCTGTTGATGGCCGTATTCTTCTCCGGACGATGGCTTCACATACCAACCATTGCGACGGTCGTTTGTGTAGTCTCTGCCGCTCCTGTTGGGTTTTCCTCTAATTCCTTGATTTATGTGGAGTTTGGGCTGGATTTCTGATTCGAAATCAAGTTCTTCGAATTGTAAGGTGTGGTAACGATTAGCGTTACCAGAAGCCCGAGGGTTTCCAGAGTGGTGCGGCTGAGCTCGTTGGTTGGGGTGAAGAGTGTGGTGACGCCCCTTGTATGTCACCATCTGCCATCCATCAGTCGTTTCCCCTGTTTGGGGTTGCCGGTGTGGCCGTAAATCCTGATGCTGAATATCGCTTCTTGGCTGTGCGGTCCGATTTGGACCCTTTTTAAGAACTTGTCTTGATATTTTTTCATATGTGGGTCGGGGTGCAGAATTGAGATTGTGTATTACAGAATACCTGAATTGTAATACCGGTTCAACAATCCTGCGTGTTGGGTAGTGACGAGAGGGAAGGAGTTGGTATAAGCCTCTACCTGTTCTGGGTGAGAAATGTTCACCCCTCATGATTCTGCTAGCCGATTGAGGGTGTGAAATGTGTGAATATCGTTGGTGCTGCTGGTATGTTCCGTCGCTGTACCGGTTGTTGTAGCACTGAGATACCCCATTTGAGCAGCAGCAGATGTCCCTAAATAC